GTAGGATAAATCGCACAGTAGTGACCACAAATACACATATATCAATTATTCAGGTTAAAGCTTGTGATCACAGCGGTCTGCGACAAATCTCCATGGGTTGGTTTAGTGTGCTGTCATGTCTTTGGTAAATGCCTATTATGTTGTTAAATGAATAGATTTACTTATGCTTTGCTTTACTTTTCATTCATTTCAGAATGGTTCGTGCGGTTCGCATTGGGTCCCAGTCTTTTGGGCCATCGCGTGCGTTTGTTCGTAAATCACCCGCTTACCGAGGAAAAAGGCGGTAGCTATCAGAAGAGCTGGAACGAACTGCCGTGGCAAAACTCATCGAAAAATGCCAACGACTGTTTCGACGCATACGCCGAGTTTCGATGTTTTATCGCTGGTCCGTTCCGATACGTCTTCCTGTGCGATACAGAGTGCGGTGGTTCACGCTGTTGTTGCATTTTAAATACGACAAATACATTTTGTATTTTAGTAACTTTGAAGATTTCAGCGGTTCAGGGTACCTGCAGATCATACCACAGCTTACAGTTGGAGTCGATGGTCATGTGCAGTTACCGTTAAACGCGATCCAGTGTCAGACGGTGCTGTCAAAATTATTGGGCCCGTTTGAACAATGGGAGAGCCGTCTCCGCGTTTCCAAGGAATGCGGCTACAATATGATTCACCTGTCTCCCATACAGACGCTGGGTGTGTCTGACAGTGCTTACAGTATTTCGAATCATTTGGAGTTGAACCCGATGTTCAGCACCAAGGGCAAAATTTACACAATGCAGGACGTAGCAAAACTTGTGCAAAAGCTTCACGACGAATGGCAGGTGTTACTGATTTCGGACGTCGTGTGGAACCACACAGCAAAAAATTCCAGTTGGTTGATCGATCATCCGGAATGCGCCTATAATTTAGAGAACTCACCACACCTGCGCCCTGCGTTTGTGCTCGACCGAATCTTGTACCATTTCGGTCGCGAAGTGGCCGACGGGAAATGGACAAACTGCGGGATACCTAAGGACAAATGGGAAGGCTACCATTTGGAGGTACATGGTTGGATATTTTCTTGCTGTGGAAGTATGTTTTGTATAAAAATGATATGCGTTTAACCAAATAGTACCTCTTAGCGAAAGAGGAAGATAAGAAAGTCAAACAAATTCGAAAAAACAGGCGGATAATCCACTGTTAGTTTCTGAACTCATAAATGATGGAATGTTTAAGGCTCACGGAACTCATTCCATTCGAAGAATGAACGACTACAATAAACATCAATCTCTGTCAGAAGGACCACAGTGTATGGTACAAGTTTACGCAATACTGAATTTGCACACGACAGTTCCAATGGCCTGCATCCCGTTTTCTCCATTTGCTGATTCTACGAATCTAGCGTCATTCTTATGTTTCATTCATCTAGCATTCAAATTGTCATCATTTCTTCAGAGGTGAGATGGCAGATAAATAGATTTTGCCTGATTTTTAGGAATTAACGCGATAAATGCAACCTAAAATTTAGTTGAAGAGTAAACAGATTTGTCTGGGATTTGTTTGTTCAATTTTGCGTTCCTGCGGCGAAGTATTAGGCAATCGCGAGAAATACTGACCTACTACTATATCATAGCAGTACAGTACTATTATAGTATTGAAATACTACTGTACATGCAAGATACTACTTACCCGTTTTATTACTTGCACATAAATTTAGCTAAACATCGTATGAATAAGAACTTAGATGTGCAGAAAATCAGTGGTACCGCACTTATTTTGGGCCCTCATAAATTGTTCTGCCTTTAAGTATCGTCCGTTGCTTTTTATACGTAGTTTGTAATAATTGTTTTTCTGTTGTAATCTGCAAAAGTAAGATGGAATGGGATGCTGAGACGAGAAACAAACATCTTAGTGCATAGAATTAGGAAAGTTAGTAAAATTAGTCACCGTTGGAATGTTGGCCTTATTTGGCTCTCACGATTAGGCCGTTTTGGAGCCCTTCTTTTCATGAAGTTGATGATGCAGTACTGATCTCAGTTTCTGTGTTGTCAGCCAGGAGTGCCTTACTTTTTAAGGCAGAGTGTACAGCCATCTGGCAAGCGCACCGTGTAGTCTTCTAGAGGATAGTACTCGTTTGCCAATCATTGTGTTGCCCTGATCAGTGAACTCGGAATCTACCGGTGCTGAATTCGACGCTCTACCGACTGCACAGTCTCGGTTTACTACCATGCATAGAATTAATAAATACTGAGTAGTGAAAAAGAAGTGTATCAGCGCATAACAGTCTTAACTTGTTAACGCACTTTTAGGGGTTATGCAGGTTTCACGGCTGAAGAAAATGCATTCATCGTACTTTACCCTAGTACGATTTCCCTTACTTTGGTTTTTGGCCTCTTTTAGGATTCTAAGTTTGATTTTATGGCGAAGCTATTTGCAGGATTTGCGGGATTCATTAAAATACTGTCTAATTTAATCTTTTGATGTGAAATAGTTTTTTTTAGCTGTTTGAAATAGTGCTTTAATGGATGTATTGTACTTTTGACGCTAGAGAGATTCTTTAAGTACTAACGTCCTTGTACTTAGACAGAGAATTTACCCTCAGCGAATGTTTGTTTCGGGGTTACACCTTGTGCTAATTATTATACTACATATTTAACTATTGGATGGATCAAAGCGAAGTACAGCCACAAGGGGTGCTCGCATCGGACGGCTTGGCCAACCACCTGATCCATTTTGGTATGACTACACTAAAGTGCTGTGCTGTTCTTAAGTCAACGATTCGCTATCCTTTTTGAGCTAGTTGTACCGCAACAACGTGGGGTAAATTCTCGGCGCCAATGAATCCGTTATAAAGGTAAAATTTATCCCTCTCCATCCGAAAGCGAAACCTCTTTGCCACCGTTTCCGCACTACCAACCAAGAAATAAGCTGCAGTTTACTGAAGTGACGCGATTTAGGATACATGATATTCTAGCGTAGTAATATGAGAGCTGATCATTTGTTTCAAATGCGCATATGCCATGGTTGCGAAGCGCATTTACTAACTTAATTGAAGACTTTGTCTGCACAAAGTGTACCCTGTAAATACAAACGAAAATCCTTGGAAAATACAGATATTACTGTATTGGTGTGCTTTTTACCTTTTTTCCTGTTACTGAGGCAAAACATTTTTTTCGATGAAAAACTCCTCTAGAATCGGCGTTCAGTACTTATGTAATGTTCATACGGTCCTCCTTACTATCATGTTTAGAACTTGAGACGCGTGCTGTTGGACCAGGTGTTGCCGCCGCATCGATTGCACGAATTCTTCCAAGTGGACGTAGACAAACTGGGCGCTGAGTTTGCTTCCAAAATTGCAGGTGCATTTCAGTTTCGCCTTATTGATGATTGCTTGGTGCCGTTACGAACTAACTTGCTTCCACGTCTAGAATTGGGAAAACCTTGTGCCCAGGAAGAAAAGACCTTGCCGTTGGTCATTGTCCAGTGCCCAGATTACAAGCGGTTCGGATCGACAGTAGACATGGAACAAGCCATACTTACTTTCAACCAACCAAAGTACGATGAAACTTTCTGAGTTGGAAATGTGGGAAAGGGGGTGGCAGACTTGATGAGATTGACTTGACCTGTAATGGTATGGTTTTCGTTTCAGGCCTGACTGTGTCGACGAACAGCAACGACAGTGGCGCTGTGTGGACGATTTCCGTGCATGTCTGCAACGTCTGAATGACGACAGTGCCACTCGATGCTGGAACCACTTACGGGACGCGGTCAACGCGCTGCTTGGCCACGTGAACTACGAACGCGTCGCAGACTACGGCTTGAAGCATGCTGACTACGAAAGCCACCATGCTCTTTTGCCAAAGTAAGCTAAAATACAGTAGTGCGGTCATTTTAATCTTTCGTGTTTTCATTCATAACATGAGAATTCGTTCTTTCCGAGAGAATTTGAGGTCAGTCGATATTTTTTGGGGATACAATGTTTCGCTCATCGTTACATTGAACAAGCAACTATCGCTGAGTCAAGACGAACTGCTGCCGTATGAAGTACTCGCATTAGACAGTATGCCCGTACCTCACCCATTCTCGTATGATCACTGCAGTACATTATACTGCCCCTGTTATTTGCAAGTCAAGGACTTACTACTCGTTTCTCTGCTACTGGACTAAATCAGCTTGGAATTAAATTTGCTTTGCTCAAAGGAATTCATGATGCTGCCTTCTGTGCATTCAGACCTCACCTCTATGTCCAAAATTCGGAGCCAACCTCTTGCCACTCTGCCAACATTTATTCTTTTATGCCCTTTGCTCAGAAGAATAAGCCGTTCTTTTCCTTACTTTTCAAAAGGACAAAAAATGCTGGATCCTTTTAAAAGAAATCTGGATTCGACAGTAAAGCAAGTATGATCTAAAAAACAGACAGTGATTCTGTTTTGATAGAAATTTATTTGTTTTCCAAACATTTCGGTTCTATATCTAAATTAACTGAATTACTCTATTCTCCCATCGATAACGTGCACCTTATGCATACCTTGCACTTTGTACTTCTTAATGCTCATTAAAATGTATAGATAATGCGCAACTAGTAAATATAGCGCACATTGTAATATTTAATGCTTATGAAAATGTAGAGATAGCATGTAGTCTTTTTCTTGTCTGAAAAAAGGAAGCTTTCGGACGTGACCTTCCTAAAGACATTTTGATTACTGCGAATGAGAAGGAATGGGTCAGTTAAGGCATAATGAAATGTGGACTGAAAATTGTTTAGAGAAAATGAAAACAAGTCTTTTTTCAATCCAAAATTCCTAATAATAATGGACTCTTGCCTGGCACATACTGCTGATGATCTGAAAGTATTAGTAGGCAAGTATTCAAAATTTGCGATTGTTCCGGGTGGATTAACAAAAAGGATTCAGCCGCTTGACTTATCCGTTAATAAATCTAGTCAAGGTTTCATTCCAGATGTGAGAAGTGCATAGTGGCTGGAATTAAGGACTATAGTAAATTGGGAAAATTAAAAGGGTGTAATGTGAAGAATGTGCAGGTGGATTTTTGAAAGTTACTCGATGTCAATTTTAAAACGGGGTTTTAATAGCATTAGGCGATGTGCTATGGTACTACACTACAACGTAAGCAATGGAAGATGACGAACGGCTGATTTCAGAAAACGAACTGAGTGAGGTACTTGAAGAAATTGTAAACGTTCTTGATTCTTTTTATATTGATTCAGATGGACAGATTTGTGGTCATGAGTGACTTTATTGTAATATGAATGTACAATAAACGTTATTTTACGTTTCATGCTTTATTTTTATCTTGTTTTGTTATATTAAACCTTATATCCACTGATATTGCGATGCGCACATGGTTCCAGACTAATTTATTTTCACAATATACATAGTTTGAAATTACCGCGTACATAAGTAACTTGAAATAATTTGGAATATGATCGTTTTTCATTTTTTTCAATGCATAACTCGCAACGTTGTTTTTTACGTTGACAAACCTTTTTTTATAGATACCACGCGTGTTGTCGATGGGAAAATATGGTATATTAAAATCATACAATTCAGTCATTGGGGGTACAAAGGTGTAGCTGGTGAGTTTGGACACCGAAAATACCGTCCGTTAAAATAGCCTTGGTAGCAGTAACAGATGGCATGTTTTTAGTTTATCAAAGGCAATGAAATTCTCAGCTACTCCTCGTGATTCTTTTCAGCCATATTGATATGACTTTCCGTTATTGGCAGGTTTCGTCCCGCTTGACTTAACTTAGAAATCATACATTCTTTGTTGAAGTGAACAACACAGAATAGTTGAAACTTGGTTCCGTGTGTTTCACGTATTTTGCTGCTGTGCTGTGTGTGTTTCTAAAGAACACCAGAACATTTCGATACCCGGTACTATCCCAACCGACAGATTTTTCACCTTCACTTCCTCATCCGACGTTGGGGTTGAAGGTTTTCATGACTAGGGTATACTTGAACTTTGGAACCAATGCTTCTTCCAGTTTTTGATGGAATTCTTCCATTTCCTCAAAGTCAGCCTTACTTATGACAGAATAGGTTTGGACCCTCTTAAAGGTTATGTTCTTGTTCAGTTCGAGGCACAACAGGCCCAATCTGGGTGACTTTACATGGCAGGAGACGATTGTGAGGACCAAGTTTGGCAGACAACAAATCTGATTCCTCCTGTGTTCTTTCCGTTCTTTCCGCCTTTCACGCCAAATCGAACTGTCGTCTTCAAGACGTCATCCATCTCCTCTACCGTCGTGTCTCACAGTGGTCAAAGACGTCGCAGATGATCCCTGTCTTCTAGGGATTAATTCAACGTTTCTTCCTTCGCCAATGTCCTACAGTTATAGGTGCAAACGGTAAGGGAAGTCTGGTTCCGTTTACTAGATGGCAGCATTTCCCGTCAGGTTTTAACAGCCATTTGTCTGTTGAATGCCTAATCGCCCTTGTGGTATGGGTCCAGAGACGCGCGGGGTGCTGAGGCCCATTTAGCCGTGTTACCATAGAGCATGACGTTTTACCACCCGCTGGCAGGGATGGAGGGTTTCGAAACCTTCCGATTGTAAAAATTGGAGAAAACAGCCGAAAACGACGAAGGCCTCAGATTATTGAGGAGAGAGTTAGTGCTTTATTAACCAACAATCACGGCATAGAAAAAAAGAGATAGCGCGTTATTAACGGCTGGCAAAATTGACACACGGTCTGTCTGTGTCTACACACATCTCTTTGCGACAAAGACACGCGTTCCTCCACCAGCACTGAAAAAACCGCCAAAAGGAAATGCACTCCCTCTCCTCATAAGCGAAGTTCGACATGCCGCTTAGCAGATTAAGAGTTGGATAGCCGCAGGATGTGACGATCTGGCAATTTGCAATTCTAGAGCAGGTGGTCAAACGTAGTAGGCTCCAGAGGAGAGGTTCAGTTACTCTCTGGAAATGGAAAAGATACCATCAACCAGGAAGGAGTAAGACAATCGTGCTGGTAAAGAACGGCGAGGAGGAAGATTTGAAGAGCTATTTCTCAGTTTGCCTCCTGTCGTAAATTTACCAAATGTTCAGTAGGATCATTACCAGCAGACTGTAAACAAATCTGAAAGAATTGCAGTCAAGAGAACGGGCAGAATTCCGCAGGAACGGCAGCACAGCGAATAACATCTTTATCTTAAATGAATTTCTCGAGCTTAGGAGGAAATAGCAGCTCGCCTTGAGGATTGCCTTCGTTGGCTACATAAATGGGTTAGAAACTGTCGCGTACAACGCAGTGTAGACTGCACCGCAGAACAGGACACTGGCACCTGTTACAGCGGTCCACTAAAAGAAGCGAATTTTTCTGCCTCACAAATATCACGCTGTTCGATATCCACTACAGATTCCTGTATAGAAGGGTATAAAGTAATGGATCACTGTTTCCCTTAAACTCTTCACTGCCTTTTGCAAACTGTATTTTAGAAGTAGAACTGGAAGGGTGGAACATCAGCGATAATATGCTCAGCCGCCTCAGGCTCGCATATGACGTGGTGTTGTATGTTGACACGTAGGTTACCCACAGACAGGCTTCAAGAGCTCGAGAGAAATGGTGCAGAAGTCGGACGACTAAATCGGCCAAAGGGAGATGCACGAAGATA